ATTTTAAATTTTATTTTAGCATTTATTTATTTCATGCTGGAAAAACGAGGAGAGGCTGTCAGCTGAGGGACGTTTTGGATTGACGTTAATTGTCAACTTGACCAGCTGCAGCGATAATATCCTATAGTAAGCTTTTTTTATAATACAGCAAGCAGGACAATCCACCTTGTCAAATAAACGTTGGCGACCGTTAATAAGTCGATGTTAAGAACTTCCACGCAGCTATATGGCCACACGTTTTAGCGTTTGTGTGTGTGCGTATATGGTCTCAAGCCCTGTGCAGATGGATCCATGGTGTAAACAGGTGCTGTGCGAGTTAACAGCTGTGGGTGGGAACCATGACAACGGCTTATGTGCGCTGCCCAATCTCTTAACTGTGTTTTCTTTATAGGCTATACAAACATTATAATATATCTAGGACTATTTTGTGTTGTTTGATTTCTGGATACTGCTTAACACTGTGATCAGTAGTTGTTTTGTAGACGTGCTGTTTGTACTTTTGCGTTATAAGCATAATGTTAAGCTATAGCTTATGTTTTTTGATAATTTGATGTGATTAATGCGAAAATATAGGCCTAAAGATAATCATTTGAACATCTGAGCAGACTATAGCTTATATAGTCTATCACTATTTTTTAAGTATAGGCTAATTGTGTTATCATTATGATTGGTGTAGGGTATTTCTCATGGTTTTTATTAGGTTTACCTTGAAAACCCAGTGTTCAGATAAGCTACCAATTTTGTAATGTGGATAACTTTCTTCCCAGATGAACAAAGTGGCCAAATCTATAGCCTACCTAGCTTGGTACCCATTACATCAACAAATAGTTGATGTTAGTCTATAATGTTAGTGGTATGGTGGTTTGTGTGAACTGGGAGGCCTGGGATGGAGTCAAATTTCCCAGCCTTTATCGTGCCAGTCTGCCCCTGACTGAGGGAGTTGACATGGCTTAGGTTTAGGACCAACACCATGAACTGTATGTACACTAGATGTCGCCCACAACATGCGGGGAAACCCAAGTTTACTGAGCCAACTGGCACCACACAGTTTAAACAGAACACGTTAATGAAGCAAAACAACAGCTTAAAACACAAAATATTTCTAGACAGATACACAAATAAAACAGCATCGCAACTTCCAGTATGTGGATTTCTTAAGCACCATTCACTTAAAATGTGATTGTGAGCTAAAATAAAACAGCACTTTGTAGGCTAGTTTGTATATTAATCAAAGGATTGATCAGTAATACAGTTAAAAAAAGTAAAAAGTGAAAAATTGCATTGCAAGTTGCAGGTTCTGCCTGTTGACTACAGTGCTCCTTGTAAGAAAGTTAGTCTGGAGCCCTGCTTAGCTCTGCCCTGTAGCTTCAACAACTAATTTTTATCACAGGGCATGTTAAATGATGTGTTGTGATCAATTAATTGCAATGAGAGGTGCGATTTTCTCACAATATTCTATTCACTATATCTCTTTTTGGCCTTCAAACACTAATTTCAAAAGATCTAATTTTTAAAAGATGCATGTTTTTCAACTTCTATGGCCATAATTCTTTGGGGGGAGGGGGGTAATAAGTGTATATGATAGGTATTTGCACTTCAACTTCTACTTGGCTACAGTATGACACATATTTGTATTTGCTTTGCTTACGGCAGGGTATGATGTAATTTCTTGCCAATAAAAGTGCGAGTACTAGTTCAAATTTGTTACACTTCAGATATATTGTCTTTAGATGTGTATAATCTCAACAGGTAAACACAATGCCAAATCCAAGTCATTTAAAGATAGCAATTAATTATAGTCTACCCATGCTACAAATATCAATGTGACTTTCTGTGCTTCTGAAATGCAGCCCATCGTGTGCAGGACTCCTTACGAAGGGTGGATCCTGAGGGTACCGTGGCACAACAATTATCCATGCACATCCTGAGACGCAGACAATATAGTGTCCCTGCCCCGAACAGTTTGTGGCACATCGATGGTAATCACAAACTTATAAGGTTGGTATTCCAACATTGTTTATCACAGATATGTGTAGATATACTTTGGAATGACACATAATTAACTGTTTTTTGTCCTCAAACCTGCTGTATGAAATACAAATGTCAATTGTCATAACTAATTTTACAGATGGAGGATTGTCATCCATGGCGGCGTGGATGGATTTAGTAGACTCATTGTTTATATAAGATGTGCTACTAACAACCGATCCACCACTGTTTTGGACAGTTTCATGTCAGCTGTTGCTCAGTATGGCTTACCATCCCGCGTTAGGTCTGATAAGGTAAAGTAATACACTTAAATTACATATTGCGATAATAAAAGTCACAATTGGCCACAATGTCAATGGGAAGGGAAGACTACAGGATCAACCTGTTTAGCATTAAAGTATTGGATGGTCAATATCTTTTACTATTGAACACTTTACAAATCTTATGTAAAAGTTATATAATCGATGTCCAAGTCTATTTTTGCATTAATAAAAATATATTTACTTATTTGGAGGGTGGAGAAAATGTTGCAGTTGCACATTACATGGTGAACTTGAGAGGACCAAACCGACATTCCCACATCACAGGACGCAGTGTGCATAATCAACGGTATTTAGTGGTTTGGTATAAGGTCTGCAGTGTAAAAATAAGTAACATGATAAAATACATGTTTATTGGTGATAAATATTTTTACTAGTTAGCCTATTAGCTGTAACATTTGGAGTTCATTTTCTTTCCATTTTTGTCAACAGAATAGAAAGACTATGGAGAGATGTCTATGGGAATGTCCTTCATCTATTCCACACCATCTTCTTCAATTTGGAAGCAGATACTGTAAATATTCTTAAAGACATTCTTCAAATTTAAAGAGTAAACATTAATTTGCATGTGCATGTCCAGATGTGATTTTACTTACTTTATAACAAATTAGTACATTCACACTGACCTTTTGAACATCTTAACTGTCAGCTAGACATCAAGACAAAATCTTTTGTAGTTATGTGATTATGTGATGTTATGTGAGTACACATTTTGTTGTTTGTCTGTAGGTTTGTTAAACATTTGTTTGTCACCTTGTACAGGAACAGCAGTTTGATTTCACATAAAGTTCAAGATGCCAAGCAACTTTGGATGTCAACTATATTACTCTATTTGTAGAAAACAGCAACTGAATTGTGTGCATGTCAAATATAATAAACTACTTCTAAACATTTAGAACTTGTAATTTCTTTGTTGAAAATGGTGCCGGACCTTCTAGATTTCAACTTTAACCGAATGAACACATGCATAGAACTGACTAACTTACATTTTTACACCCTAAGGAGCTGCCTGAGGATTCTCTGTATTCATAGTTGCTATCTGAACTCTTTTCAACATTCCAGAGATAAAACAACAACATTTAAAATATTAAAACTAATAATTCTGGTTGTAAAATTACAGCGATCATTAATCCAATTTACAATGGTTTGGCCTTAAACAAGCCCAAATCCACTTTCCAAGGTGTTGATGCTTGCAAGTAGAGCTTCACGAAAAACACTGCATGACTGATAATGTGATGGGAGCTTGAGTGTTTCAAAGCATGTGCTGGCTGTAGGCATGCTGCCACGTCCAACTTCGACGATGAGTTCGTGTGGAAGAACTTCCCATCCGTGCCAGAACTTCAGCAGCTGTAGGAGATCTTCTGACGATGCTTAAAAAAAATTAATTTTATTACAACTTCATTAGTTTGTTTTTGGCGCATATAGAAAAACAAAGACCGTTCACTTGGCCATCTTGACAGACTTTCCTTTTTCAAAACTGTGCAGAATGTGTTGGCAAGGCAGCAAAAGCAATTACTGCTATGTCTTGGGCAGATATCTTTTGAAAAATGTGATCTAAATGCATTAAATCTGTCACCTTTTACAAGACAGAAGCCAAACTTGGGGTTACATGTGCAACTAACACTTTCAGGTAAAATGTCAATGGTGTGTTTATGTATGTGGATTTTTGTATATGAGTGTATAACATTTCGGTAGTGTTTGAGAATATTTCAGCTGTAATTGTGAAAAGTCTGTCAAGTTTATTTCTGTTGACATTTTAAATTTCATTAGATTATATATGAGAGTTGAAAAGCATAGTGTACACTAGTAGTAGGGAATGTGAGAGGTTTTCAAAGTATTTTAGTTGGTTAACTGAGAGAGTCTTAAAATGCATACCATGTGATAAATTACGTATTTGTAAATGCAAGCCAAATTTTGGATTATGTCCCCATATGGCTCCTAGATCATCTATTCAGCACATTCTCATTCATCGTAAATGTACTTGGAGCTTGGACTTTCATTTAATATATGTACCACAAGTGAAGATACTATACGGAACATCTTCAATAAATTTTCTCAAGAATCCAGATATGCGACATTTGTCTTCAAGACTTGTGTCATCATCCTCATCATCAGTGTCAGACTGCATTGGCCAAGTTACTCTGTCCAGAATCACCTATATGATAAAAAAGATAATTCAAATCACACAATTAATATTGGGTAGTAGTCAACGGTAGCAGTTAATCATAATTACTGTTTGCATACATACGTGTGGCTGGTAAAAAACAGAAGAGCTCCTTGGAAAGTGCAATGGGATGGTGTCTGGCCTCTCTGTCAGCAGATCCATTACACGTGTTTCTTTTAGTGCTCTCTTTAGCTGTTTAATTTGCTGTGGAGATCGGCCAAGAACCTATAAAAAGCAATGCTTTGTTTGGCACTTCATAATATCCATATAAGAAGATAATCATTTTTTAAACACAACGTAGCATCAAATCCATTTTGTTCTTGTAAGATTTGTGCTTTCAAAGTTACATTTATGATAAACAAGGAAAATCCACTTGCATAAAGTTCATATTTTTTGGACAGTAATATTTTTTATTAAAAAGTTACATGTAGGATTTGTGAAAGAGCTTACAGTAATCATTCACTCAAATTTTTAAGATGGCAAATAATAAATTAAATCTAGCAAAATCATACATAACTCACTGCATGATAAAGGAGCTTCTCCAGTAGCCATCTCCTGTTTTCATTGGTCACTCCTGGGAGATCCCACCCCAGTGCCAACTTGGATGGACCGCTTCTGCTCTGCCGTCAGTATTGTGGACCCTTCAAGCTGTCAAACATAAGTTTAAAACATTTGAACAAATATTTAGAGTAATACAAATTTAATGCAGGTATAAAATGATTTACAAATTCAGGTAAGGCGAAATGTATACCAGTCTGACTGTCTCCCTGACATCTGTGTCACAGCAGTCTTCAATGTCAACGCAGGACATTTCAGGCATTCCACCACTCAAAACATGGAGAATGGCTTGGCTTAGACCAGTCAGACATGGACCACTGTGCAAGAAAGAATGACCTATGATGCGTCCGGCAACTAAGAAAAGGTCACTATCTACAATGACTTGTGACATCGAAGGCACAAGATGATCCTTTTCCCCTTCGAACAACAATGTCTTTCCTGGTCCTGAAAGATTTAGAAATACACTTGATGTATGAAGTTATTGTGATAATTAAATACAACAAATAGTGCCAATATCTGGTATTAAGATATATCACAAAATTGTCATACTAACCAATTTTCCATTGAAATTCAAATTGCAATTTGGACATTATAGTAGAAAGGCAATGCCTGGTCACACCTTCCCACATAGCTGCATCACCTATGATAAGAATACAAAATGTACATACACTCTTGTTTACCTCCGCCAAGGTAGGAAATATTTTTGCCGCATCTGTGTGTTTGTGCCTTTGTCCATACATTACAAGCTTTTCCAAAAGTTGGGCACAGATTTGGAAAAAACACAGTAAGAAGGTTGGTTATAGGCCAAGGACAAACTGATAAACTTTTCATGCCGACTAACAAAAAGAGTCTGCTCTACTGAGGACACACTGTAGTTCCTGAGTACAGTGGATAATGTGTGTTGAATCAAAGACTCTGATGGCCCTGAGGTGGGTGCCGATTCTGCTGTCATCTCTTCACTGACTACAGGTGACGCTGTCAGCACCTCAGCTGCTTGAGTTTCTGGCCTTATTTCAAGAGTGCTCATAATTTAGTGATACAATGTTTCAAGACAAAGTTTTAGTGCTTTACATAATCGCCTATGACTGTTTAATTAAAGTTAGTTATTTCAATACTTATACAACCATCACAAAACAGTTTATAAAACAGTACACAGTTGACATACCTCTTGCATGCATCATTGTGTGCCTTTATTTCCACAAATTGGAATTCACCCCCACAAGACAGGCATGTGATGAGAGGTCCCATTGTCTGTGAGGATCCACTGTCCTGCTAATGCAATAGTGGAAGGAATGGCTTACATATGTAGTTATTTGCATGTTATTCAAAAATTAGTGAAAACTGGCAACATACCAGTGTCACACACACATACCTTACTCCCTTTTTTCATAATTGGCCCTATCTTTGTTGCAAAAGCATTAAGAAACTATGCTGAAAATTTACCTTACATTTCAAACTTAGACTGACTTTATCCGTATTCAGACTTCTTTGAAGGGGTCTGATGTAAATAGTGGCATGACCAATCATTGCCTCAGGAGACTTTAGAAACTTTACATTGTAGTCTGTACTTGGGCAGGCAATGAGCAGCAGTTCTCTGCTCCGTGTTGAGCCACGGATTCTCATGAGTTCAAACCCTCCTGCTTCGCTCAGTTTTGGGTATGCTTCCATCAGGCACTGCTTAAAATAGTCTGTGGAGGACTCTTGTCCTACAACAAACAATAAACCGTTATTGACAGCACCAGCAACTACAGTATGTAAAAGTATGTCACAAATAGCCTACTTGATTTAAATAAAACAATGAACTTTTCTTTAACCAAACAAATGTTATCTTATATAATAGACTATTACGCAAAAATGGTTATGATTAATAACTGATGAATGATGTGGATATTGCTTTTTTCATAGGACAAATTATAGTAAAATCATGTGATAATGTGCTGTAAAGGCTTTATCCAGAGAAAATGTAATAAATATTGATGGAATCTGATAATCTTACCTTGAAAAGTTATTCTTTTTTTCTCCTAAACCAGCATCTGCCAGTTCACATTTCTGCCAGCGAGTGGGTACCAGTGTGGACGTTTTACTGCTTAAACAGCAGAACATGTGTGTAAACGTCACCACGCTTGTAGCTCCAAGACGGCGAGAGCCTCCCAAGGTACTTGGATGAGGCCTTGGCGAACTCCTGTAGGGGGCAAATAGTCTTGCCACTTCTGCTGAAAAAGAAAAGGAGTGTTAGTTTGCCAGCCTCAATGTATGGTAGTACTTCCACTGTAATCTTTTTGTGCCAAAATTTTACCATGGTATAAATGATAACCATGAAAATGTACCACACTTCTATGGTAAACTATCTCCGCAATACCATGCATCAGATATACAGTGCCTATAAAAAGTATTCACCCTTGGATGTTTCACCCTTTGGTTTCTTTTATACATGAAATTACGGTCAATATAATTTTTTGACCAGAATTTGCCAAAAAAAACCTCTTAAATTAAAGTGAAAACGGATTTTAACAAACTAATGTCAATTAATTAAGAATATGATTGTATAAATATTCACCCCCTTCAGGTCTGTATTTAGTAGATGCACCTTTGTTGCAATTACAGCACTGACTGTGAGAATATGTTTCAATCGGGCTGGCACATCTGGACACTGCAATTTTTCTCCATTCTTCCTTGCAAAACAGCTAAAGCTCTGTCAGGTTGCTCAGGAAACGGGCGTGAACAGCTCTTTTCAAGTACAGCCACAAATTCTCGATTGGATTGAGATCTGGGCTTTGACTTGGCCACTCCAGAACATTCACCTTGTTGTCTTTGAACCATTTCTGTGGAGTTTTTGCTGGATGCTTGGGATCGTTTTCTTGCTGTCTTGCTGGAAAAATTCTCCTAAATTGTAGTTCTCTTGCAGACTGAGTCAGATTATAGACAACATATAGGCAACATTGCCGTCAATGGTAATGAGTAAAGATTACTATCCGTCGATTGCCCAGCAACATTGCTCAAAAAGTTGCACCGTGTATCATCAGCTTTAATTAACGTTATGAAGTAACATTATTATTACATAACCAACAACTCCTGGAATACTGTCAGGTTCTGTTAAAAACGTTTGTGTGGTCCCATTTTTATATGCATCATTTTAGGCTTTGTAAACAACATATTTAGTTTATGCTTTATTATAGATTAAAACATGCTGTCCATATACTAAAAAAAAAATCTAACAAGTTGTTGCAATCTAGAGGGGAACCACAGGGACACGCTGACCTCTGCGCCAGAAACTTTTTTCAGGGATGTTACCGTTAGCATAATGTAAGTTAACTTGCAGCATTCGTTCTCCAATTACATTGCTAACTTCGACACATACTAAGCAACAATAATTTACACCTACCATCCACAGGGTCCCTCGGTCTTGGTAGTCCGGCTGGAGCAGACGGTGGAGTGCCAATGCAATCCAACCTGTCTGCAATTTCTCTTAAAATCTGAGAAACGGACTTCCGCATTTGGTTCTGTCTACATTAGCAGTAGCAGCAGCAGCAGCACCTTCTTCTTCTTCTCCCTCCTATGGTTTTGTTGTCAGTTGGCAAATAACAAATTGGTGCGTTACCGCCACCAACTGGTATGGAGTGTGGATCAGACCTTTATACGTCTCTGATCATGGAGAGAAATACTTCTGTGAGTGATTAGTTGGACTTAGTGAGTGGGCCACAACACGTTCATTGACAGTTAAGGAAGAGGAAGGAAAAAGCAATGACAATAAGTCTCCTTGAGGAAAGGCAAAAGCAAATGTATGTATTTATTCATTCATTCTTTCCTTGATATAGTTCTGCATTTATTTATTTATTCTTTTATTCATTCATTCTTACCTTCATATATTTCTGCATTTATTTATTCATTCTTTCATTCAGTTCTGTCACTTTGGATGTTCCATAGCCCTGTACCACAAAGCAGGATTTGAGCTTATCCAGGTAACTTCGGGGTTAACCCTGGGTTTTCAGTACCACGAGTGGTTCACTTCTTACCGGGGTAGATCTCCATGGTAACTTATGCTGAAGGCTAACCTGCTCCGGAGCAGGTTATGTTCCAGAAAAGAGATTAACTCTGTGAAAACGCCGCCTACTGATCAATCAGCTCTCTTGGAAAATGACATCACCATCTGTAGGAAATCCCACAGACTGTTTTAGCCAATAGGCTGCTTTATATTTGCAGCGGTGATGTGGAGAAACTCTTAACTATGGCGGAGACTGATTAAAAGCCTTATGCTAATGTTGCCTACAGGTTTTTACAGTACAGCAGGATCAGCCTACTTACTGCCTTTAAATGTGTTTAATATTTTTTATTTGCTCCCAGTCCGTTTCACACACCCTGACGCAGCCGTTAAAATAAATGGGTTTTATTTTTCTTATGAGGCTGAATATTATGAGCAGTTTGGTAGGGATATTGAAATACTGAATTTTAATATGAACGTAGGCTATCTATTTAGGTTAGTATAGCTTTCTAAGGCCTACTATAGAGACTGTAGTCATGTTCCGTCCCACCTTTTGCGATGTGGGTGTAAAAGGTGGGACAGTGAGTTTTCAGCAGCCTAAATGTTGAGATTCAGTTTTTCAAAATTATTTGAGCACATTTTATGGCATGAATGGAGTTTTCGTTTCATTGCTTTATGAAGTTAATTTAGAACAATGTTTGGAACACTTTTGAGTGTGTTAAATAAATTAAGTGGCGACAAGTTTTTTTAAAGTGAGGGAGAACGGCCCGAGTCTTTTAATGTGGAAACGCCGACACACAGTCGAGCTGAAAGAATAAGGCTGATATTTTCATACAGCTCATGAGAACACTTTTTATCAACGCATTATTATAGACTACGCCTGTTCATTTAGACATTCACACTGTCAGCGACTTTCTGTCTCCCTGCATGTGTCAGATGCGGGCGTGCTACTGTCGTATTTCTGAAGTGTTAAAGTTTGATCCTCGTTCGTGAGCAGAGCGGGACACAGCAACACAATAAATCTGTATGTGTGTAGGGGAGGGGCGCTGTGACTACGATCACAGAACCCAGACACAGTCAGCTACCCAATGAGGATTTTTATTCAATCCGAGCACAGATATTGACTCCTATTACTCGTATAATACTCGTACTCTGCAAAAGTGCTTTATCCGTACCGGATACTCGTTCAACTCTAATGTTTACTGCAGGTTGCCCTATTGCACCAAGATCACAAATACTGTAGTGCTCACATATATTATTGCACACAGCACTATTTTACATTGTTCAGCAGCTTAATGGAGGCTGGCACAAATTATAATTTTAGGCGATTCTTCTTGCTGTAGCCTGTTTCATAACTGCCTGGTCATACATTGTTGTGCATATGTCACCATTTAGTTTTCAATTTAGTGTTATCAAGTCAAGTCCAGTTTTATTTATACAGCACTTTTCAAACCAGGGTTAGAAAGGGCTTTACAGGCATGACAGACAAAAACATTTCAAAACACTTACAAAAGGTAAAAAGAAGCATTAAAAGTAGGGATGTGCCAATCCGATACTTAGTATTGGTATCTGTCCGATATTGGCCAAAATCACTGGATCAGATATCTAAGGGGAAAAAACTAATTAATTATTAATTCAGTCCCTGTGCACTGT